ATAATGTCTGACGACGATAATTGTTTGCAGTTGTCAGAACTAACATGTCTAAGCAATTTAACGCGCTTTGTTCTACTTATAATGTAAATTTAAGTCGCCGTAAATCAATGTTACCTGTGCTCTGTCCCCTGTGTTATAAAATTAGAAGTCATCTCCGATATGAAAGGGTCGTGTAATAATGTTCTCGTTCGGTAAATGAGTGACCTGGTCGGGCCGATGCCTTTCGCTTTCATGATCAACCCCTTCGGGGGCTTTCATTTACCCCCCCCCCTCCCCCCAACCTTTTCCTATCCACATTTTCGTCATTTCTCTGTCCCTTCCAGTCCCTAAAAACACTTTCGCGACTTAGACAAGGAAAACGAACAGCACCGATGTGAAACATTCAGGGCATGTAGAATGCATTGGAGAAATTACCAATGGATACATTTTGCGAGGAGAAGCTGAAGGGAAGAGACCTATTGAGAAACCAAGGTGCAGATGGGGAAAATATTACTAAAATTGTTATAAAATTAGCGTGGGATGGATTAATCTGGCTCAGGATATGTATCACAAGCGAGATTTTTTGTGTATGAACTAAACTTTCAGGTTCCACAAACGGAATTTAATGTTCTGACAAGTTGAGACACTATTTGATTTTCAGGATGAAGTCTGCACAGTTGGGTTAGGTTAGGTTACTATGGTGCCCTTAAGACGCTGTCTCAAACCGACAGATATTGTGGAAACTATGAAAATGTCGTGCGAAAGTCAGTGGAGCCAGCATTCCAAAAAAAATATTCCCTAAATATGATGTAAGTTACTAGCAGCCCCACATTAAACGCAATTTTCCCCGCTCCCAGAACCTCGATATGCACACGTTAAAGTCTTTCTAAAAATTAACACGAATACATTTACGGCGCTGAACGTTCGTCGAAGCGGCCCCTGGAAACAGAGTTTCAAAACACTGCCGAAGGGCGGAGGCATTTCTGCTCTCAAAACGCACAATTGCAAACCTCGCTTGGTCGCTGGCATTGTTACTCAACGCCACTTCATGCGATATTCATTCTACTTCTCTCTCTCTATTTCCGTAATTCACTCAAGGAAGTACTAAAACCCACTTCTAATTCTCACCATTACACTGACAGCCCTATCAAAATCTTTCCTTACTTTCCGATTGCATTTAATTATGTTTCTTTGGAAACAATTTAATATAAGTTCTTTTGTTGCAATTTCAAACACGTTGTTCTTAAAATTATGCAAATGAGAATATTTAACCTCTGAATTCTGAAAACACTGGTACACGTAGCAAACTACGCCAACTTGCAATTAAAGGTTCCATTTTCACACCCGAATTTTTCAGCACGTAAAATTAAGCTGGAGAAAGTTTAAATTTCGTAAGCCCGATTTGAACCACCGACAGAGGGTGCACACACATCACGCAGTAGCCAGCACAAATGACAAATCTGCTTCACATCACGCGTAAAAGTAAACAACGGAAAGTTTACGCATAAAATGCGGTCGGAAGGCGTCGAGACGGAAATGCCGTGGCGTCGTTCGGTCGCACTCCGAGAAGAAATGCCATAAATCACGGGGGAGCACTCGACTTACCGGGCCGATGTCAATTTCCATTCCATCACTCGGGGAGAAGTTACAGTCGACATAAATCAATCCTCCCCCTTGCTTTCCAAAGACTGGGTGGGGGGGTGGGAAGGGGTTGGCTGAAGTCAATTAGGGAGTTCCGTAGCTAGAATAATTCATACATCAGCGAGCGAAATCCGAAAGAACGGGAGAGAGACACAGAATCAAACAATTCCAGTTCCCCTCCTCAGATTCCATCTCTTTTCTTTTACATAGTCTCAGATGATAATTCTTCTCTCGTAAAAACAGTCATTAGAATCCGCATTTTCCTGCTTACATCACTGACGTGAAAACAAAAGCCGTGTTCAAAGCGTAAGAGGAAGTTGTTAACGGTGGCTCCCCGCGTCGTCCAAGTTACAAGATAAAGCCGAGTCTGAAACACAAATCGCTAGCTTACAAGTTCCAGCGTCATGACTAATCTTAATTCTTTTCTTCGTATGTATCTCCATTCCTGATGTTTGTGCGTTCTGTATACAGAGCATAATGCAAGACAACTTTGGACTCACGAGGTATCAAGTTAGTTCGCTGTGGAAATTCTAGATTTAATTTAATTTAATAATGGCGGTTATCCATTAAAATGTTTCAGCGAATTAAATTTTGCGTCCTATCGGTCGCACATGACAGCTTCTATGCACGAGGCTCAAATCAAACGTCTTCAGAAAACGGTTAAAAGAAAAACGTTGGTAAACCTGATATACAAATCTGTGGTAGTTTGTGCGCATTTAAGTAAAATTTATATTTCAACTTATGCAATGGTAATTTGTCATTTCTGAATAAGTATTTTTAATGATAACGACAATGCAAAAATAGTGACATGGGGAGGGGGGGTCTTGACCCTTGGGCCCAACACGAAAACTATTCTGGACCACCCTGGCTTAAGTTATCTCCCTCACTTTATGATCTCTACTGATATTTCCTGGCTTTTATAATGAACAATTTCTAGGACTGTCAAAGATCTGTTATCACCCACGAATTCTAACGGAGGCCAATCGGACACTTGCTAATCTGTCTTTAGTATTAAAATTCACCTGTCATATTCATGACGTATGCGCTATGCGGGCTGAAATGGCTTTCAGAACACTTTCAAGTTTTAATCATCTAAACACGGGACCTTTCCCGGCTCCGATAAACACAAGGCAAAGGTCACTCTATTCGTCTACTGGAGCGTTAAGACCTCAGGTTTACTGTGGTATTATTTGTGCATTTACCTAACACATTTCGGTCAAGGAAGTAAAAGTTACCATCTTCATGAGACTGAAGCCCCCGTACGTGACAATAATCTTCAACGAGAAACGAAATCACTAGTACAGCCTGTCACTGAACGTGAGCAAACTCGGTCCGAGACACAGAGAGGAATTAATGAGAAGGTTTGATCGTCATGCGAATGCCGAACGCGTGTTCCATATGCAGAAGATGTAAAATGGAAGTTTATCGACGAAGTTTATGTGCTGGAAACCATAACGGAATGGCTTTCAACCCTGAAGTTATTTTAAATTACATCTACAAAGTCAGTACCTACCTGAAATAAAACACTGAGTTTTAATTAGTACGACAGATTGCTTATTGGTGTTTAGGGAAATGACCGCTGTTAATTATGAAAGTCACGTGGGACAAATAAATACACTCGGTTGATAAAATACGGAGTTACTGAACGTTAAATCAGTTCTAGAACCGGTTCTACTGCAGCCACTGAACAGAGACAAAGACGAAACGGCGAAGAGCCCAACGGGTCACAGACTTCATCGCCGTCCCATGGACTTCACGGTTTTACAGAACCATCTATGGGGCTATGGGGCAGTCTACAGCCCAACTGAAGCAACCAATTAACATTCGTGACTTCAAAACAGCCAGAAAGTTGGTTGAATGTGCGCTGTTTGGTTTGGTTACACTCAGTTATATACTCAGTGGAGCCGAATCCTTCCTGAAAAGCTAACAGTCGCTCAGCCACTCAAGAAGTTCGTTTACACAACACTAAATTGCACGATTCGTGTAGCCCAGATTTTTCGTCGGTTTAAACGGGAAGCCGGTTCTTAAAGCATCGCTCCAGTTTGCTTACGTAACCAACAAATCAAATGACGTATTTTTGTAAAACTTGGTGTGAATATTATGTTAGTAGAGGCCACCTCGAGTTATAGGCCTAGACTTTAAAATCGTACAATCAAAGATGGCAACATGCTCGCGGGAGCAGCTGTATAATCGAAAAACTTTTGTTTCTGAAGTAGCATCGTACCAACTACAACGCGTAATTAGGCCTGATTTTACGGACAGTTGGTGCTCTCTGTACAATAAACAAAATGATTCATCTGTTTCAAGGGAAACCTCCGAAGAAATGATTACATGAAGCAAATCAACGGGCTCAACCGGATTCCGATCTGATGGTGACAAGGAACAGTTAGAACGCAGAGGGTGCAAATTTGCGGGGAACAGACACGCACAACCAATTAACATTAGTGATATTCAAAACAGCCAGAAAGTTGCACAGTGTAATCAGGTGTTTGGTTTGGTTACACTTAGTTATACACTCAGTGGAGCCGAATCCTTCCTGAAAAGCTAACAGTCGCTCAGCCACTCAAGAAGTTCGTTTACATAACACTAAATTGCACGATTCGTATAGCCCAGCTTTTTCGTCGGTTTAAACGGGAAGCCGGTTCTTAAAGCATCGTTCCAGTTTGCTTACGTAACCAACAAATCAAATGACGTATTTTTGTAAAACTTGGTGTGAATATTATGTTAGTAGAGGCCACCTCGAGTTATAGGCCTAGACTTTAAAATCGTACAATCAAAGATGGCAACATGCTCGCGGGAGCAGCTGTATAATCGAAAAACATTTGTTTCTGAAGTAGCACTGTATCAACTACAACGCGTAATTAGGCCTGATTTTACGGACAGGTGGTGCTCCCTGTACAATAAGCAAAATGATTCATCTGTTTCAAGGGAAACCTCCGAAGAAATGATTACATGAAGCAAATCAACGGGCTCAACTGGATTCCGATCTGATGGTGACAAGGAACAGTTAGAACGCAGAGGGTGCAAATTTGCGGGGAACAGACACGCACATTCTGCAGAGCTAAATTTCGACGACATCAAATCTGATAAATCTATAAAGAAACACGAATTTTAACGAGTACAAATGGGCCACTAAATTGTACGCTCGCCAGAACGTCTAAAACACAGAAATACGTTTTCAGAACCTGAAATTATTTAGCGGTATTCATTTGTTCTAACCAGAATCGCGTTCCAGGTAATTTATATTTGATAACGCCTAAGAAACAAAGAGCCTTCCTCACAAAGGTTTTTGTGTGTCTCTAACTAAGGATTAACATAGACGGTATCGCCTTGTTCATGCGGCAACTTCTACTCCCCTGTACCGCGGACAGTCTAGACGATCCTCATCAGGGAGAAATAGTCTATCTGTTTGCTTCTGGGTTGCGCATGCGTGTGAAGAGATAATGACGCCATGCGGGACAAGGTTAGGTTCTCTGCGGCACTGCTCTGTAAAAATTAACTTCCAGGAGTTAACAGAGGCCTGGAGAGGACCCCGTAGCTAACTCACGTAGCTTCAACCCATTACAGGAAACAGAACTCGCAACTCCTTCATAGTTAAAGAAAGTGCAATGGTACAATTATTTTGCTCCCAGTACCATGGTTCGCATCACTCGCCCACTCACTATTTGCAGCAGGAAATTCTTTCAAAAGTCGATTGTACACTCTGCTCGTCAAAGAATTGCCCACTTTCTTTGTGGAACTCGACGGTTCATCGCTGTGTTTACAAAAGCCCGCCGCCGCACTCTATCCTGAGCCAGCTGAATCCAGTTCGCTCCATCGATTCCTACCGCCCTAAAGCCCATCTTACCTCGGAAGTTCAACAACCGAATCTTCCAGCTCTTGTGGTATTACTTCCTGGTTCCAAATCGGGACCAGAAGCTTGTGTGTCTCTGAGTGCAGTGTGCTACCACCTGCATGGACTAGTTTCGCCGGAATTGAGTCGACGCCTGGAGGTTTATAACATTTTAATTTCCCAATTTTGCATTTTCAACTTCGCTAAGTCTCGGTTCCTGGACGAAGGGCTCTGCTGTATGCACTTCAGGCTCGTCAAATCGATCAGGTACGTGAACGATTAGTACCTTACTAAAGTAGGGGAAGGTCCATTATCGGACAGTGCTTACTTTTCCGAAACGTCGCTAGTTGGTCCTTAGTTGGAGTAAATCCGTTGAGCCGGTCAGCCGCTGACAGTGAATCTTTCAATTTGTACAAATTTTGAGGCTCGTCAAATCGATCAGGTGCGTGAACGATTAGTACCTTACTAAAGTAGGGGAAGGTCCATTATCGGACAGTGCTTACTTTTCCGAAACGTCGCTAGTTGGTCCTTAGTTGGAGTAAATCCGTTGAGCCGGTCAGCCGCTGACAGTGAATCTTTCAATTTGTACAAATTTTGAGCTACATTGTTTATTTTTGGAATGCCGTATCAACTAATTCTGGTAAGTGAAACAATCACTCAATTATTTTAATTTTGTTGTACCAACTACAGACTGCACGTGTAGAATGATTTTGTTCCAGCAGGAGGCACTGGATGTACGCGTCTGTCGTCTAATATCGAACAGGTGGTTTCTGGTAGTACCGGACAAACAATTCTCGAAAATATTATTTAAGAATAAATACAATTTAGTTTGCTTATGTTTTTACCACTGATAATTACATTGTATTTACTATTGGAGAGATAACTGGTTTTGGTGTTCCTTTATTTTGTTTCAGGGATTAAAATTAGATTTGCTATTAGAATCAAAAACGGCGAGCCCAATGGAAAAAAAAAGACAATGGACAGAAGATGAAATGAAACTTGCTATAGATAAGGTTAGGAATAAGGAGACGTCGGTAAG